CAATACGTATACGGTACTTAGGCAGTTTCTAAGTAGATTGAGGGATTACTCTTGATGATGATGATGCTGCTGATGTTGGTTTTGGTATAACTTAACGGTATGCAGCAGGTAATTGCTGTGCAAATGCGGTCGTTGTTGGAGGCGGAGGTTGAGTTGGCGGAACGGTTGCTGTATGTGTCGATTGCGGTTGCCCATAAAAAAGTTGTTGCGCTTGTTGGTATGGACACTAAGTAAAAAGAGGTGGTGGTGGCAATGGTAGTGAGACGTTAGCTGGTGGATGAGATATGTTGTGGGGTGGTCGCTCAGAAGTAGATATTTGTGGTTGGTGATAAGCTGGCAATAATGCTGTTGATGGTGATGAGTAGTTAGAAGCCGAGGGTAAAGACGGAGATGACAAATGGTTATTAGAAGATAGAGGAGGGAACATAAGCGAATTTGTGCTAGATGGAATGACCTCTGCATTGACTGGTAAATTTGGAGAGGGCATCAAGGTATTCTCCCTTCCTGGTGATTGTAGCTGTTGTCGCATTGTAGACGTTACGTTGTCGTTATTTCTGATGGATCGTACAGCAACTTGACTGGTGCACCAAGCGTTATAATATGTTTTTAAGTTTCTGGCAGTTTTATAAAATACATCGATTCCATTTGCGTGTTCTCGATTCCACTGCTGAGCCATCTGCTTCCAGTTCAATGAAACTTGCTGGTCGCCATCACTGGAAAGTAAGGATGAGAATAGCGTATACTCTTTAGGAGTATGAACAGGTGTCACAGCGTACTTTGTTTGGAGCTTTGATGCAATACAAATATACATTTGTCGCTGCACGTTACTGGTCGATCCCTTGGGCAATGGGATATTTTCACTGAGCTTATGCGCCAGAAGTGGATCGGAACGTCGGTTATCTGGATCCGGAGAAACTTTTTGAATATTTATATCCTGAGCGGCATGAGGTAGAAAGGATGCGATACCAAATGATTCTCCAGACATTTTTAGATACAAGGAGTTCTTAACGAAGAGTGTACTGGAAGGATGATTATCATCGCGTTCTCCATTATCAATGCCGAGCAGTAGAAGCTTGTCACATATGATCTGCAGCAGCCATGGATCGTAGTGACTTCGGTGTATCTTTCCATGTCTATTTTTTGTACCAACCTAAATGCGATATATATACACTAAGTATAAGTAAAATTTTAAATAATACCATAGCTGTGTAAAAGTTACTTATGTCGATATTATGTCGTAATAGGTAGTCCGCCAACATACTATCAGTCATTTGTGGGCCTGCACCAAAAGAGCCAAACTTGCGAATAATATTTTGGTGAACACCACCTTCTAATGAGTTTGTTCCTCGGCTGCATCGATACATTGGAAGATTGTGCTTATCGACACCAATTTTGAAGTATAGCAAGATTCCAGGTGGATCGGATACCTCTCCTGCTTCTATAGCTGCTAGAATACGGCGAGCTTGATCCCAAGCTTTCTTGTCAAACAGTGGTCTACCAGTTTTTGCACATTCTAGACGACCATACTCAGCAAACAAGTTCTGAACAACAGAATGAAGCTCGTCAGCTGGGGGGGACGCTTCGTCGAACTCTTTGTAAAATCCATTCAGGTTTGCGAAGTAGCATATAATCCCATGAAAGGCCTTGTGTGCGTAAGTGATTCTCGATTCGTTGACGATCTTCATTGTTATTTATAAAAATGGCATCTCGAAGACGACAGGAAAACTCTTTTGCAAGACCATGTCGTTTCAAGATTTTAATCATATCCAGTAGATGGAATATATCTTTTAGAATTCTTGGGTTGCTGATATGTCGAATGGTTTGTGATGGGGTTACTGATGCTACCAGGAGTTGATTTGCAGATATGGTGGTTGTTGGTTGTGTAAATAAATGTGTCGTTTCAGGCAAATTAGCTTCATCTTCTGAAGAAGACGACGACGACACGGATTGGCTATCATTCGCTTCTTGATTGTTGCTGGTATTCACGGCAGTAGAAGCTATTCGCTCGACGTCAACTGCGAAATCATTGACAGGTACTTCGCTGTGCAAGAGTGTGCATAATCTTGGATTCTCGGTGCGTAGGTGGGCCACTGGAGCTTGAATTGCAAATGGTACGTCTCCCATATCGGACAAGGCCTTCATTCTTGTAACATGTTTGCCGTTTACAAGCTTCTTTATCTTCACAACAGCGCCCAGCACGCTGATTCTGTTGACCATAAATGTTATATGATCGTCGTAAATTGTCAGATCACTAACATATCCAAATGCGACTGGATTATCGAGATATTGCAACGAACAATGAAGGTTGGCTAGTGGTGTGCGGATTGATTCGCCAAAGGTACTCAAGTTTTTCGTTGTATCGAATATTTGTAAAGATGCCCATGCATCCAAGGCAGCATAGTATATCTGGTCGCTCGACAGTTGTGTAGACTCCCAGTTACTTAAGCACAAATTTGCGTCTTTACGTAAACCGGATCCCAGTACTCTTGCAGATATGGCTGATAAACCCAATGTGCCTCGCTCGATTATACCTCGCCTTCTACAGAAGCCGCCAAGCTCCAATGCTCCGTTCCAAGTGATTCCATAATCACGGTTGAGCTTTTTAAGGTCTCCCTTGACGTTGCGGCCGGTCTTGATGATGTTTGGATCACGAATTAGAGAAGCGAGAGCGGCAGGAACGCACCCAGAAGACGGTTTCAAACGAAAAAGCCATACAGCATCTTTACATGCAACCTGTACCAGCGAAATTTTTCCAATTTGATGCGTGACAGAGCTGTACACCCACTCACAGTCGAATCCCACAACAAGAGATTGATCAGAATTAATAGCGTGACTACGAATATTGTTAACTGCATCAGTGGCGTCAGGAGCGTCTTTAAGTACAGTTATAGATACTGTGTCAGGTAATTGTAGAAATGGTCCTTGGTCATCGTTTTGTTGCAATTCGGCCGATCGTGTATTGTCTTTGTTATCGCTGTTATTGTTGTCATTGATGGGGCGCGTGAGTGACGGGATTGAGCGTTCTAGAAGATTCTGGTCGCCCTTCACATTATCAGTGAAGAATAGCTCTGGCATTGGATGGTTGTATAGACGGTACGATTCGATCATCTCTTTTAACGGTCCTTCTAGATGGATGGTAGACTTTGTTGGCACCAATAATTGAAGCCGTATTTCCTCGTATTCGTTACATACAGTATACAAAGCTGCGAATGCTGATGAGCCACCAAGTTTCGCCATATGCTTCGGAACTTTAAATGTGTGGTCTCCTTTCAGAATCAAACCACCAAGCTCTGATAACTCTTTATCGATGAGTGGGCGTAATTGTTCAATCAAGGCTGTGTATACAAGTCGTAAGTACGCAGTTGAAGGAACGTAACCAGCATATCCGTTTGGATCCTTGAAGCTCGAAAATGATGGGTACTTGACTTGACGGTTATTGTTGGCTAATTCGTAGAGAGTTGGATTCTTACGGCGATAGATAAGTGAATTCAAGTATTGCAAATGAAGTCGTGCGTGGCGCAAAGTATGAAACTCGCGTAGCGCTCTCTGCAGCCGATAAACACCCATGCCATTTTGGACAACTGTCCGCAACAAGTCACCAAGATGTTTAGAAACAGCACTTCGATGTGTGAGGTACGCAGGGAATTCAGCCTGAAGATGTTCTGGGAGCTGCTCTATGATTTGATTATCATGCACCATATAGTTTTTTATGCATTTTGTGTTTGAACAATTGTATCTATAAGACATGATATAGAAACATCTAAGCATACAGAAAGATTAGTTACATAATTGAAATAAAAGAAAAGTAAAGCATCGTAATGTAATAGTACCTGTCAAGGTCAACAACACGACGAGCACATGGGTTATCAGCAGGTTCCTTTGACACCAAGTGCGAATCAACATTATTTTCCTTGCATATTGGACACTTCAACACTGCTTTTGTGATAAAATGGGGAGCCCATAAAAAAACGCGCGGACGATACAGTGGAATCGGATCAGCTTGCTTGGTGTTGTACAAAGAGAAATAAGGCGCTGGTGGCTCGATCCAAAACGGTTGCTGCTCACAGTATACTTTTGGCGGTTTAAACCCATTTTGACATTCATCAATGATACGGGCGCGTAGTTCCATGAAATACTGACTACAAATTGGAGCTTTTTTATACGTTGTGTCATCCTCCACATTTTGAGCAACGTCACCAGCTTCACGGTCATCATCTTCTTCGTGCTCGCATTCAACTTCGGCCTCTATACTTTCAACCTCTAAATCGCGCACTAGACTCCCAAGGCCCAAAATTTGATCCTCGTTGTGCTCGTCACATGTAGAAGATGGCTATAGTGAAAAGCAAGAGCCCATATTTTGATAAGATATTTAGAAATCATGTATGCAGTAACCGGTGTTATCAAAGAACGAGTTTCGCTTACCACGACGCGTTCAAGAACCGTGTGGCATATTTGACGGTAGTGATGGGATTTCATTTTCTCGTGGATGAATATTCTAAATATTTGGTTCGATTTTGTAAGAGACTACTGCACACATTTAAAAGTACAGTTCACTGCTGCATCTTATTATGACCTTACCGTTGTATTAGTGATTACATTATCGTCGACTGCACTTGCAGATTTCGCAACCCCACTAAAATCGAGTACGCTTTGATCAAGAGGTCTCGTCTTTTTCAGTTTGCACCCAGCATTTGGGTTTTTACCACCAGCTTTGCGGCCTCTTTTTTTAAAGTTAATATTGTAGGGCTCTCTGTCGCTCATGTCTTTTGATACAAGATAAAAAGAAGAAAAGGATGAAGTAGTCAAGTTTTCTCATAGTGTGAGAATATATTTATGCAAGAAAAAACCCAAACAGCACTACTTTACCAAAATAGGATCGTTGTACTAGTAGACTACGTGATACAATTCTCACTATCTCGAATTCTCATAGGTGAACTTAAACACTATCTCGAATTATGATTCGCTAAGGTGTAGGTCCGGCTACTTTACTCCCGCCCCAAATGGTCAATAACCATTCCGAGTCGTATGGTACTTATGTTAATTTGGTCCGAGAGATCATGTTGGTACTCGTCACCGAGGAGAAAGATCCTGTCAAAGGTCCCACTGGTTTTGCGCTTTACCGCCATCTTATTTTCTATACGCTCGACCACACCAGTAAGTTTAGAAATGTACGCCTTGTGACGCCGACTATTGCAATGCTCATGTACTGGTGCCGACTCACAGTCTTGTACAAGATGTGGTCGGATCATTAGCAGAATCCAACTGTCCCTCTTGATGTGTATGTATCTAATTAAACAAGCGCTGCTTTTAGATAGCTAAACTAGAATCATATTTTATATAGAACTGCCAAAAAATACGAGATGTATCTCCAGGATGGAAAGCCAACAGCTTTTAATGCATTACATGAGGTCATGTGGATTGCCACGACGGCAGCAGGCGACGAGCCCCGGCTCCCTCGCATTCTCTGGATTCCGGACAGCAACTATCGCAAACTCGATGTGGCCAACACCAGTGACAAGATATCAATTGATCATTTGCGGATTTGTATCGAGCTTTGCATGGAAGAAATGAAAAACATGATGAATTCGCCGGATAGCTCTTTTGGCTTAGGCAACATTGAGGATAACATACTAGGACTTTGTAAAGGAGATACCCACAACATCGGTGACAATATGGGCTTTGCCGATGTTGGTTACTCCTACATCAGCGACCCACGTAATAGATTTGCTAACATGCACCACACCCTCGTCTTGACCCTTTTGAAACAAACACTATGGCAGAGAATCTATGTAGATACCATCGACGCTACTGGTACCATCTCGTGGAAAAAGCCGGCACTCTACGCGTGGTTGGAAAGATGTATCCAGCTCCAAAGGCTCTTGATTGTTGCAATCCATCTGAGTTATGGTCAGCCCTGCTGAGGAGAAGAATTGGCCTTGCTGTCTATATCCAACACTCCATACGCCGATCGGTCTCTTCTTTGGGGCGTTGCATACAATACCATCATGATCATTACGCGATACAACAAGAGTCGAGAGCTCGCCTACTCTGACAAGTATATACAGTAGCTTGTTACGTGCCACACAAGCTCGCTGTACTGTTGACAGGTTATCTGACCTTTTTTCAACCGCTGGAATGGTAAGCAAAAGTTATCAAACAAACTAATACCCAACCAAAACCTAACTCGCGTGATTTCTTTAGCATGTTTACTGGCGAGCTTTATGGACAGGATGCACGTCTTGCTTGTATAGAGCGATTGTTTATCGAGCGTGGCGTTCCCATGACTGGCAAGAAAATACATCGTATCTTTGCCCGGGCTTATGCCCAAAAAGTGGATCCCCCTTTGTCATTTGCCGATCACCACCACGTTGCAATTGCATTTGCCCGACAGCTGATCGGTGCAAAAATGACACTACAACATATCGGCGAGGAGGAGCTTGGTATCTAAGCTGGCCACTCGACAGCTACAGCAGGTTTGGAATATGCCAGAAGCAACATTGACAGCAGGTTCATAGACCCTATCATGGCGCAAAAGTATTTTGAAGTGAGCAGAAAATGGCACGCTGTTTTGGGTAAGTCAACAAAAATGTAACAGTAATGAAAGACGTGCGTGGTAAACTCATCAACCTGCACTACTGTATATAGGCATGGGGAATGACAAGTCCAAGGATCTATCCGACCCATTGCATCGTCGCACGCAAGCTATAAAATATGTCAACTAACTTATTGAAGAAAACACGGCAATTTTTGAGGCATGAAACCTAGCTTTGATGAGGAACATGATCATGGAGGATATGCACCGTCGAGGTAAGATATCATTTCATTATGATTCGTGATTTTCAAGAGTCGGCTTATTAACAAATCATGAACTTTTAGCACGATATGCAATTGCGAACGGAGAGCCAGAGGTTCATGCTGTCAATAACCAAAGTGTCGCCAATGATTTGAGCAGCAGATCACTGCAAATGTCTAGCGAAGCAAGGGCTCTCCTAGGACTGCAGCGTCTGATGAACGATCACAATGCAAGTTTTCGATCTGACATTCAGCGCGACGCAATGATTGCAGCAATCAAAGGGCAAGAAAACATCCTCATTGTACTGCCTACTGGTGGTGGCAAGTCAGCAGTATTTATGACGCCTGCTATGGTGGAGCCAGATAGAACAGTGGTTTGGTGGTCCCCATCATATTACTCCAGTTGGACATGCCGCACCGTTTGTCAAGGTCAAGGATCAATTACTATACATACGATGGTGGCGAGATAAAACATGGAATCATGCTCTCTGCTCAAATCATCCTCGTCACACCGGACAATGCAAAGGCCCCCCAGTTCATCAGTATGCTGCAAACAATATGTGCAGAAGGCCATATCAGCAGAATCGTCATTGACGAGGCTCATTCGGCACTCACATAGAGCTCATTTAGGCCTGCTATGAATGACCTTGAAAAACTTCGCCAGGTATCTATACCAATGGTCTTTCTCTCTACTACATTGCCGCTGTCGATGGAAAACAGGTTGCGGGTATATTCGTAGTTGTAAAATTACAACACTTTATAAATATTTTGAGAAATATTTAATTTTTTATCTATTTCGGAGTTTGAAATTGGATGTACTGAATAATTTTATTTAATATATTCATAAATATGTAAATAAATATATATTTAAGAAAGATATTCTTTTAAAAATAATAAAACATGAAGAATTAATTAAATAGTTAATAAATTTAAGAGAACTATTTCTAAAAAAATGAGTTATCATATATTACTTATGTAATAATATAAAAATAAAATACATAAATAATATGTCTTATTTATATATAGTATATATAACACCCTCTCTCTTCTTCCTTCCAGTCTTTAAAATCTTCTATTTTAAACCTAAGAATGAAGTTCTTCTAGGACCTTCAGGTCCGATATTAAATATTAATATAAATTTAATCTTAATATGAAAAATACCAGCTGGTATTTTTCTAATAGTAGTATTATATTTTAGATTCGCGTTGCTCATAGAAAACCTTCAGTTTTTGTTTTTGTCTTCGACGGACTGGAAGGAAGGAGAAGAAGAGAGAGGAATTATTAATAATGATTATTTATCCTTTTTGATGAATAGTTATCTTCTTAAAATAAATTGGAATTTTTTAATTGAGATTTTCTTGTATTTATTTTATTTAACATTTTTGAATTATACTTTTAAAAATGAAATATTCGTGATGACTAATTATTTTTATAATTCAGAATAATTCGTATTTTAATAGTTTTTATATTAAGAATAAGATTTTATATTTAAATAAAAAAAAATACAAAATTAAATTGACTAACATGTTTTTGACGATTTATTTTAAAAAGAAGGTTCTTTACGTAAAATATAATTTCCTTTCATAATGATATTTTCTTCTAGAATAAAAAAAGAAAAAGTATTATAATATTGAAAAATTTTTACATATTATAAATTCTTTAGTACCCATAAAAATATTAAATATTTATAATTATAGGTATAACCCTGATGTGTGACAACGTGCCGGCTTTGAGTATTTTGTAGAGGTTGAGTGTAAAACAAGCACATATAAGTATTAAAAACTAGTTGTCCCAGGTTTTTTTCCCCGCTCCTTTAAGTTTTCTTGAAGAATATGCCTTTTGTTGGTGTGGTAACTGGTGTAATTTCCTCCGAAATTCGAAGCGGTATGCGGCGCGAGCATCCTTGGATGAGCTTTTCTCTGAACATAGATGGTGGTTTTATAACAGTATGTGTTTGTTTTTGTTTTTGTTTGAGTGATGTGGTGAGGGATATATGTGGTCATGATAGGATGTTACTGTAATTGTGGTGTTACTAATTGTGATGCTAAAGGTGTGGGCAGGAAATCTAGAAGTAATGGACGCTATTCTGGATCTTCAGCTTGTGGAAGGGATGTCTGTTGTGTGCCAGGGTGAAGTCAAACTAAGCAGACGGCGAAAGCAAGATAGGCTTTTTAACACGTATGTTTCGATGTCTGCGTTGCAGCTTCGCAGAGGGGTGCAGTGGCAAGTCGAGTTGGAAGGTGATAGTGGGTATGTCGACAGCAATCCAGTAACAAACAAAAGGGTATTGAAAAGGCTGCGACACACCAACATTGTTCCCAGGGAACTTACTGGACTAGAAAAGGCAAGAATAGACACTTTGACTGCGGCTGCCACAGTGGAAACCTTTGACGAGTTTGGGTATGTTGGTGCGGCCTGAGCTCCGTTGAACTTAGTGGAGGCCCTAGGCCGAAAGGTTCTAAAGCCAGAAAGCATCAAGCAAGAGGATATCTAATGGGCAATCGGACATCTTGTCCTGAGAGAAGAATAAATAATAAGTTTAGATTATGATAATAAATTATATTTTATAAAAAGAATATAATTATAAAAATTAAATGGAAATTATAACTTTATATTTTTATATGAAGAAATATTTTAATTTATTTTAATTTTTATATTAGTTAATTATATTTTTATGATTTTTTTTAAATTTGAAAAAAAGTTTTTTTTATTTTGTTTTAGAAAAAATAATTACCATTTAGTGTTTATTCATATTGAATAAAAAAATATAAAACAAAACATAATTTATTTATTAATTGAACTGGCGGAACGGTAGTAAGCATTCCCCCCCTTTAGTTGAGGACGAAGGACGAAAACTAACTTGACAATGAGATTTAGAGATGGAAGGTTGCAGGGGGAGGCAAGCCTTTCATGGGGTAATTAAAACAACAACAACCTTCCTTAAATATAATTTATTATTTATTTTACTGTTATTAATTATTCATCAGAGGCAAAGAACAGCAATTTTTCGACTCATTTATATTGAGTTTAGAATACAATAGCAACAAAAGCAACAACAACAACAATAACAATAACGACTACAACGACTACAACAACGACGACAACAACGACGACAATGACAACAACAACGATAACAACAATGACAATGACAACAACGACAATAACGACAACAAGGATGACAACAACACGATAAGCATAAGAAGAACAAAAGCAAGAACAAGAACAAGAACAACAAGAGTGGTGCAAACCACGTTAAAGTTGCTGAGTTGTCAGATGTACTCGTACGATGGATAGCTGGGAGCGCTCGTGATATTCATGCTTTTGTTTGGTAAAGAGGAAAAAGAGTAGAGCAGTGCTGTTCTTTTTCAGTGGCACAGTCACTCAAAGACAGCAAGAACATCACGGTTCACTATAGTCTTTGTCATCTTCAGATGTCATTGTTTGGTTATCCATATGTATGCTGGTTATCAAGCTAAGTAATGAAATGGAGATCCTTCTGTTTTTATTTCTTTTACTAGTGCTCTCACACAATCCGTTGTATCAGCAATCCGACAAAAGAACTGCCGTTCACAGCACATCTTCTAACCCGCTCAGACAGTAGCTTTTCTCTTTTTTGAAATTGATTATCTTTATTCAAAATTTCTGTTCTTCTAGTTCAACACTGTTGCCTTCAGCACACCAAGACCGGCACTCGAAATTATATACCTACATCACTCATCCACCACCAGTATGCCCAACACAACAGATCCTGCCCAGAAATCACTTTTAACCACTTACCTGGATCCTCACACGTAACAAAGATATAAGGCTCAAGCTCATCCAGCAATACATATAGAGTACCTTATCACACCAACAGCATCTCGATATAGCTATATGGTCAATAGCCTTGCACTTGTTTCATAAACAAACAGAATAACTGCCCATTTAAATTCCTCTGCCACCATCGCTAATACCCATAATAGCTGCTGTATTCGATCATACGTTTACATACACTCGTTTATAGGGACCGGTTGAGGTTATAATGATTATGCTCCGGTTTATTGGTACTAATTTGACGAATAGCCACAATAAGTTGGTGTAACCAAATTTCTCATAAAATTAAATTTGTATGTCTTGGCATGCATATATTTAAAAATTTTAAAAAAATAAAAATTGAAATTTTTTTAATATATATATATACAGGATTTTTCATCTCCTAGCGGACGTTTGAACTTTTATTTAGGCAGAAGGGATTTAATTTTAGGCAGCATGGACATGAATGTTAATCAAAGCGGACATGAATAAAAGTTAATCTGGACATGAATAATAATTGATCTAGACATAAATGAAAATCGAGCTGGACATGAATGAAAATTGGGCTGGACATGAATGAAAATCGATCTAGACATAAATGAAAATCAAGCTGGACATGAATGAAAATCGAGCTGGACATGAATAAAGATCGATCTGGACATGAATATAAAACGATCTGGACATGAATATAAATCGACCTGGACATGAATATAAATCGACCTGGACATGAATATAAATCGATCTGGACATGAGTAAAATCAATCTGGACAAAATAAAATCAATCTATACATGAATGAAAATCATTCTGGATAAGAATAATAATCAATCTAAACATGAATAATAGACAACCTGGACATAATAACAGTCAACCTGGACATACTTTTAGTCAACCAAGACATAATAAAAGTTGAAGTAGATAATATATTAAGTGTAGCAGAGCAGAATATTTGAGTACTTAAGATTTTCAATTCAAGTCAAGACATAATAGAAGTTAAGCAGTACAAAGCCAATGTCAAGATGTAGTAGTATGGCTGTTTCACTCGTGACAAGAAGCTTGTAAGCTAATGTACAGGAAATGGCAAGGGTGCGTCAGAGACTCACTGTATGCATAAGCCTATTTTGCTGCTGTGGGAACAGGGCCTGAGCGTTTCCCCTCATTTCATTTTACCTGGGTTGAGTTTGAAACAGATTGGAGGCTGGTGGCTGAGGTAGGTGGAAAGTGTGGGGTTTGTTAGCAGCAGTAGGGATCTTTTTTTTTCTCATTAGCATTCGCCATGGCAAATCAACAGCTGCGACACACACTTGTAAATGGCTCCTACTCTCTTCACGATGAACAAAAAACAAGGAAAACAAAACGGCGCAATCCATGGATTTATTAAAAAACGAAATGAAGGTAACTGTTTTCTTAAGAAAAGCATGTGCTCAAGATTTGTAAGGAGTAGACCGCCATTACTGCTGCTTAAAAAAAACGCTGGGTAAGTGAACAAGGGAAGGAAAAGGTTATCGGTTGTGCTTGGGGTATAGCTTTAGTGGACATATGCCCATTCAGAATTACTGCTTCTTTCTCTTTTTCTCTGTATATACGTGATGCACCATCTTGCACCAATCCAACGTCAAATGTACGTGCATAATACAACATCGTCCTCTACCTGCACAAACCATTCGTACTCACAACAAGAACGATGCAACAATCTTCTTCTCCATTACTCAAACACAATCATATACAACATGACAATGATCCGCTATTGGCTTGCAAAACATATAGCCTGACGCGAATACTTTTTACCTTTTACATATACCAACATTAACATCGCCGGTCTTTATGGATAAATGAGCTGTAGATAGCAGGAAGGATAACTGACAGGTTTCTTTCCTTTTGTATTGCTGTGGATTGGATGAAAATAAAGTATGTTGACTATTATATAAGAAAGACAACGAAGAAGGTTCCACAAGAGTTATACAAGTGCGAAGGATGTTGTTTCGTGGTGAAGGATGGTTATTGTAATTATTGATATTGCGTGGCAGAGTGTCTGGTGCCATGCACGGTCTCGCATTTGTGAACCCATTTGTAGCCACACAATTCCGAGATGCGATCCTTGAAGATCTGCTATCGAGCAGCAGGAGCGCACACGATTTCATTTGGAATGAGTGCAAGAACTCCACGTATAGTTGCGTGAGAGAGAGCATAGCGAATGTTGTCAAGGGTAGTAACTTATCAGTTGTTCATAGTTGCTGTTATTAATAACAAATAAAGTTGCTGTTGTAATAGCAAAGAGGACTAATTGGTAATAGACTATAACCTTTTATATCTATAAATAATTTACTATCAGTATGGCCAATTTGGGTCAAAATGATTTAAATGTTACACAAACATTTTTGATGTGCATACTTTTTTATTAAAAATTGAATTTTTTCTTATTATAAAAATAAACACATTATATCTTACCTAGATTTTCATAAAATAAAAATGGTTATCTTGAATACAAAAATACTTATTGATAAACATAATATGATTAGTTCTATTAAAGAATTAATGTTACAAGTTATGAAAAATTATTTTGAAGATGAGATATTATTTAAAAAAGAAGATGAAAAAAAGAAATTAATAGAGAATATAATTAAAGAAAAAATTAATGAAGTCGAAGATAAAAACTTTTGGTATCTTAACTCTTCACCTAATGTATGTACTTTTATTCATAGAAGAGGTAAAAAAGAAGGTGATATATGTCATAGTAAGATTAATACAAATATAGGTAATAAAAAGCCGGATTTTCTTTGTAATAAACATAGTAAACTTCATACACCTAAAAAACGCAACAAAAAACCTACAAAAAAATTTGAAATCCAGAATTACCATGTATAATTGTTAATAACAATGGTAATCTTAAAAAAGATATAAAAAAAATCCAAAAAAGAAAATCCAAAAAAATCAAAAAAGGCGAATAAACAACATCTATAAATTTCACAGTAAACTGTAAATTTATGATATTTTATTATTCTAGTCAAGTTAGGCTGCGTCCAAGTTTTCCTTGCCTAAAGAAGGGGTATGCTCATTACCATTCCGCTGCTATATTGGTAACAAATATTTATATTATTTATAAAAATTATTTATTGGTAACAAAATTAATAAACTGAAATTAATAATTATAAAAATAAAACATATAATAATTAAATTTTTTTAATTATATTAAAAAAATTAATTAATAACATATAAAAAACAATTATTTTCTTATTAATATATTACTACTAGTTGTCCCCCAAAGTGTATATTTGCAATAGTAGCAGCTTTAATCTAGCTTATACTATAAAACAATTATTATAATAATAGAGATGTATAGTCAAAAAGTAAAGAAAATATTGATGAAATGGTTTATTGATTTTCTCAGTAGGGGAGAGTATAGATTTTTTATTTTGAATTTTTTTAAAAAAGGAGGATATACATTACCAATTGCTTTTTATTGATGACAAATCATTTTACTATTGTTTTATTTTCGGAGTTTAAATTTTTTAATAAAATTCAAACTCAATTACTTTTTATCAAAAAATTGAATTTGTTCTTAATATAATAAGTAATTGCTTATACTTGATTACTTACATATTTTACACATTCTTCTTTTCTTATTAAGGATAACCTTTTGTCTTAAACGCAGCAACCTTAATATATATTTTTACTACTGCTACCACTGCTACCACTGCTACTACTTCTACTACTTCTACTATTACTATTATTAATATAATGGACACTAATAATCTTATTAGCCAATTAAACTCAGAAGTTTATAAACTAATTAGAAATAAATGGACATTTTTAAATATAGAATGGCCATATATTCATAATAGATTTAACCATAGGACAGAAATTAAAGATACCAAAGATGATAAAATAAAAATTATAAAAGATATACTTTTAAAACAATTAGGTTATATAGAGGAACAAATCATAGTATTTGTTCTCTCTTATAATAACAAAACATAAATGTTTTTGTTATTTGTCTAAATCTCATTATCTAGCCCCAAACGTTTCGAAAGCAAGTTTCTCAACCACCCCTATTTTATATTTATGAAATTTTTATATACATAAAAATTACAAAAATACTTAATGATTACAAAATCTAATAAGGATTACAAAATTAAAAAACTATATTTATAAATATAGTTATTAATTTTTAAATCCATTACATTAAAAAATATTACAATTTTTTGATAATCTATAATCCCCCCCATTTTCCTTTAACTATGAATTATACTCCATACCTGTATTTTATTTCTTAGTGATTTTACATGGAAATAAAGAATATCCTGGTCCATATAGAGAAATTGAAAAAGGTTTAATTTTATTATACTATATTGTATCTGGTAATCCTGGTAAGAATATACACGAATTTATACCATACATAACTTTTTACGATTTATATAAGAAATTTTGGATTACTAATTATGCTGATTTAAATAAAATTGTAAAAAAAGATTTAAATGAATTATTTTCAAATATAAAAATAAGGATATTGGCAGCAAAAGTAAATGATCCTGATGGTTTTAAAAATGTAACACTATTTCTTGATGGCCATGATAGTAAAATTAAATACTATAATCTAAGTGAATCTACAAAAACTATATACTCATATAAATTAAAAGGTTTAGGATTAAGAACACAAGTTACGTCTGATATGAATAATATCATTACATATGTATCAGATAGTGAAAAATGCGCTATTGGTAATGATGGTACTATGTTTTGAATATGAAGTTATTCAAAGATAAAATATCGGAAGCTGATTGTATTGGTTTTGATTGTGGGTAT